TACATGTGTGATATCAGCATGTCTTTACAGAGTCCTGCGCAACAGCATCTCAGTATGAGCCTTGAGAATGTGTAGCCATCTTTGTGTGTTATCCCGCATAAGCAACATTCAGAGGTGAGGAATTAATGAGAGGGACTCTGAACTGCACTGATCACAGAATATTCATCAAGAAGCTGAACTGGAATGACAGATTACAACTGAAGCAAATCCACACAACAGGGAAATGTCATCAACCCTGCGGGTCAATTCTGGATAACGAAGCTTTCGCAGTAGTAGTCAGCAGTCGCCGGAAATCCCAGCTGTACCTTCTCCACGGGTCCAGGGCTGCGTCTGAAACCGCATACCTCCATACTGTATAGTACGCTAAAATCAGTATGCGAGCCGAGTAGTATGTACAAATTCATAGAATTCGAAAATCAGTATGCGAGTATGCTTCTCCCGGCAAGATTCTGGAGTGCGCATCCCATGCCTGCTGCGCTATCCCATGATTCCCCGCGAGAGAATTCATGAATGGGAGTAAAGCGACGCAGCTGACGCAGGTAGGTCGCGTGACCATGACAAAATGGGGAATTCCGTTCATACTTTTCCCATTCATACTGTATAGAACGTACTTTTCCAACGGCTGAGTAGTATGTTTAAATTCAAATGCAGTACCTACTGAGTAGTAGGCGGTTTCGGACGCAGCCAAGGTTTGTGACATTTGTTATTGTTTCATTTGTTGACCTATTATAGAGCACTGAACCACTATAGGGCCATCTGACTAATCAGAGCAAGGTAGGGCCAATCAGAGAATGGTAGCATCCTCTGACCAATCAGAGAAGAGTAGGCTCATTTGACCAATCACAACTTGAGTAGGGGCAGAGTATGTGCATTTAGAGTAGGATCACCTGACCAATCAGAGCACAGTAGAGCCACCTGACCAATTAGAGCACAGATGTCAAGGCCAGTTCCTGGAGAACCGCAGCTCTGCACTCTTTAGTTCCAACCCTGCTCCAACACACTTACCTGTAGGTTTTAAGCAAGCCTGAAAGACTCAATTAGTTTGATCAGGTGTGTTTAATGAGGCCCTCCAGGAACTGGCTTTGATACCTGTGAATTAGAGGATGGTAGGCTCAGCAAGGTAGGTAGGTCTTCTGACCAATCACAACTTGAGAAGGAGCAGAGTAGGTGCATGTAATCAGTCAGTGTTGAGTAGGGTCACCTGACTAATCAGAGCACATTAGAGTCACCTTTCCAATTAGAGGGTGGTAGAGTCAGCAAGGTAGGGTCATCTGACCAATCATAACTTGAGTAGGAGCAGAGTATGTGCATTTGACCATTCAGAGCTGAATAGAGTCACATGACCAATCAGAGCACATTAAAGCCATCTGACCAAAGCCACCTGGTAGGGTCAGCAAGGTAGGGTCACCAATCACAACTTGAGAAGGAGCAGAGTAGGTGCATAAGGCAAATCAGAGTTGAGTAGGGTCACCTGACTAATCAGAGCACATTAGAGTCACCTTTCCAATTAGAGGATGGTAGAGTCAGCAAGGTAGGGTCATCTGACCAATCACAACTTGAGAAGGAGCAGTGTAGGTGCACATAACCAATCAGAGCTGAGTAGGGTCACCTGAACAATTAGAGCATAGGTCTCAAACTCGACTCCTGGAGGAAGCTCTGCGCAGTTTTGCTCCAACCCTAATCAAACACAGCTGATCCAACCAATCAAAGTGCAGGACTATTAGAGACTAGTAAGCAGGTGTGAGATGGAGGTGGTAGGAGATGAACTCTGCAGAGCTGTGGCCCTCCAGGAACTGAGTTTGAGACCATTGATTTAGAGCAGGGGTCACCAATCCTGGTCCTGGAGGGCCAGTGACCCTGCAGTGTTTAGCTCTAACTTGCCTCAACACACCTGCCTGGGTGTTTCAAGTATACCTAGTAAGACCTTGATTAGCTTGTTCAGGTGTGTTTGATTAGGGTTGGAGCTAAAATCTGCAGGACACCGGCCCTCCAGGAACAAGTTTGATGACCCCTGATTTAGAGGATGGTAGGTCGGAATAGAGTCACCCATCCGATCAGAGCATGGTAGGGTCATTTGACCAATCAGAGAAGAGTAGGCTTATCTGACCAATCATAACTTGAGTAGGAGCAGAGTATGTGCATTTGACCATTGAGCTGAATAGAGTCACATGACCAATCAGAGCACATTAAAGCCACCTGACCAAAGCCACCTGGTAGGGTCAGCAAGGTAGGGTCACCAGTCACAACTTGAGAAGGAGCAGAGTAGGTGCATAAGGCAAATCAGAGTTGAGTAGGGTCACCTGACTAATCAGAGCACATTAGAGTCACCTGTCCAATTAGAGGATGGTAGGGTCAGCAAGGTAGGGTCATCTGACCAATCACAACTTGAGAAGGAGCAGAGTAGGTGCACATAACCAATCAGAGCTGAGTAGGGTCATCTAAACAATTAGAGCATAGGTCTCAAACTCGACTCCTGGAGGAAGCTCTGCGCAGTTTTGCTCCAATCCTAATCAAACACAGCTGATCCAACCAATCAAAGTGCAGGACTACAAGAGACTAGTAAGCAGGTGTGAGATGAAGGTGGTAGGAGATGAACTCTGCAGAGCTGTGGCCCTCCAGGAACTGAGTTTGAGACCATTGATTTAGAGCAGGGGTCACCAATCCTGGTCCTGGAGGGCCAGTGACCCTGCAGTGTTTAGCTCTAACTTGCCTCAACACACCTGCCTTGGTGTTTCAAGTATACCTAGTAAGACCTTGATTAGCTTGTTTAGGTGTGTTTGATTAGGGTTGGAGCTAAAATCCGCAGGACACCGGCCCTCCAGGAACAAGTTTCATGACCCCTGATTTAGAGGATGGTAGGTCGGAATAGAGTCACCCATCCGATCAGAGCATGGTAGGGTCATTTGACCAATCAGAGAAGAGTAGGCTTATCTGACCAATCATAACTTGAGTAGGAGCAGAGTATGTGCATTTGACCATTCAGAGCTGAATAGAGTCACATGACCAATCAGAGCACATTAAAGCCACCTGACCAAAGCCACCTGGTAGGGTCAGCAAGGTAGGGTCACCAATCACAACTTGAGAAGGAGCAGAGAAGGTGCATAAGACAAATCAGAGTTGAGTAGGGTCACCTGACTAATCAGAACACATTAGAGTCACCTGTCCAATTAGAGGATGGTAGGGTCAGCAAGGTAGGGTCATCTGACCAATCACAACTTGAGAAGGAGCAGAGTAGGTGCACATAACCAATCAGAGCTGAGTAGGGTCACCTGAACAATTAGATCATAGGTCTCAAACTCGACTCCTGGAGGAAGCTCTGCGCAGTTTTGCTCCAACCCTAATCAAACACAGCTGATCCAACCAATCAAAGTGCAGGACTACTAGAGACTATTAAGCAGGTGTGAGATGGAGGTGGTTGGAGCTGAACTCTGAAGAGCTGTGGCCCTCCAGGAATTGAGTTTGAGACCAACATAAGAGCATGGTAGGTCTAAGTAGAGTGACCTGACCAATCAGAGCATGGTAGGGTCATGTAAACCAGGGCAGCTAGCTGACTCAGTGGTTAGCTCTGTCGCCTTACAGCAAGAAGATGGCTGTTTTGAGTCTGTGTGTGACTGCATCTCTCACACGGTGGTCATAACTTTGAGGGATCCGCTTCTGAACCTCAGGATCTTTTTCTTGAGCGCATGCGAGGCCTTGATCTTCACGAAGGCTTTGGGCTGCAAGTCTTGTCCATGTCCGGGTGGGTGTGACGGAGATGTAGGAGCCGGCTGCGGATGGAGCTGCTGAGGCCACACCAATCCCCCACTGCCATCAGAGTCGCTGGACAGAGAGCTGGAGCCGGGGGACTCGGCCTCGCTCAGGCTAGACTCAGACTCTCCCGGGACCGCAGTGTAGTCGCGGAGCTGAGGCTGGGGGTGATGCGGTGTGGGATGGGTGTATCCGCAGACGGGTCGAGCTCTTCGGGAGCGTCTGATTGGCTGTTCACTGGGTATCTCTGCTTCATCCTGACTGAGCTCCTGCGTGGATCGCCAACGTCTGCCCGAACTACGTCTGGCTTTCGGGACGCTCCGCACTGCGTCTCGCTCCACTGTATTATACCTGCGCTCTGAGACTCCGCGCTGACCCAGCAGGCTGTTCTCAGACTGTGCACGACAGGCTTTTCGTCCGGGTTTCTTCTGTGCATTCTTGTCCTCTGTAAACCGACACTTCTTAGGTGTGGCTCTTGGCTTCCTCTCTGGCGAATATGAGGATTTGGGGGATTTATAGGTCGTGGGTCTTGCTTGGGCTCGACAGGGCTGCGCGGGGATGTACTGTGCGTTCACCAGCTCATCAGAGGAAGGAGAGTGTGTGTGTTGGTAGAAGTGTTGCGGAGACTCGGCTTCACTGCTACTGGGATCCAAAGCTCCGCAGGGGAAATCCAGAGATGTGGATGTGTGCATTCTGGGATAGCGGACTCCTGTGCACTCGTCTTCAGCCCACGCAAGTCTCTCCTGGACAAACGGTGGCTCTTTTCGGCTTAAGCTGCTCTGTCGGATCACTGCTCTGGGTTCTGGACTGAGGCTGGTGCGAGGTTTATTGGGTCTGGCAGGAGGCGAGCGCCGCTGGATCAGTCCGAGGATGTAGGTCTCCACGTGCTGTGCCTGTCTGTAGTCATCCACCGTGGGTTTTTCATCGATGTCCTCGATGGGTTGCCAGATCCACGGCTCATCCTCAGAGATGCCCTCTGCGATGCCCTCTAGTGGTGGATATGGTGCAGAGAGAGAGCGGGGAACTGCGGCGCGAATCCCCCCGATGCACACATCCCCTGCACAGAGAGAGCCACAGTCAGGAGTATTACTAACCATACTGACACGACATCTGACAAAGCACTAGGATGCACCTAATTTTTAGATGTCAAAAGGCATTTACAATTATTCCTGAAAAAAAATATCTGACAAAAATATGAGCTAAAAAAATTGATATAGCACCTTAGATGATTTATATTGCTTAGATGAGCTTAG